ACTATTATTGCTGTTTATGGTTGTTATCATTGCTACTGTTGTTGTTCAGATTGCTTATTACACTGTTGTATTAAAATTCTTCTTATTTTAACCCGGAGTTTGTGCCTCACTTTCAGCCTGACCAGCTGAGGGTGGGGGAGGGACCACGGCAACGTGGTCTCCGGTCCAGGCAGGGCTTAAACCACCACAGCCTTTTTGGCGCACCAACGTGGGGCATGAATTGGGTTGAAATAAGAATTAAAAAAGGGACAGACCCTAAGCAGAGTGTATTTGTACTGTATAATAAGAAAATGTTTGCAATGCTGGCCCACTTGCTTGTGTGGTGGAGCTGGATTATTCCTTATATCCACTGTGTGTTCCCAGTGCTGGTGTTTGTTATTGGTGGAAAATGTCTAAAGGGGATTGTTTTGTTATATGGGTTACTGACTGCTTATAATGCCTTTGTATCCCTGTGTGTGGGGGTAGGCCGGTACCTGTTTGCTGCCTGGGCTTTTGTTAGGGGTCTCACTCCCTCTGTGAGTGAGCCAGTGGAAGTTTCAATTATCCTTGGAGCCTGCAGGCCAGTGTGATTGCCGCACAGTGCTTTCTGAATGTCTGCCTGATTTCAGTTTTGGCCATGCGGCACTTCTCTAACAATAGCAGTGCCCAGAAACCTGCCCTGAGGTCAGATAATAGTGAGTGGCCAGGGGTGTGGGAAAGGATGGGCAAAGGCCTGAGTCGGTGGGCACCTCCAGTGCATTGGAATTTCACTCCTGAACAAATGCAGAGCCCTGATAAGCTGATGGAGTGCTTAGAAAGGGTGTGTTACCAAGCGGGCAAAACCCAGGAGACACAACTAGCTGCAATGTGTTGGGGACTTGCCCATGCCTACCATGTCTTTTTAATACCACTCACTGCCCTCAAGGGGGAGAAAGGCCTGCAGGATCTGAGAATGAAGTTACTGGTACAGTATCTGGGCCAGGGGAACAGGCAGAACCAGTCTCAGTTGCCTCCACCAGCACAGCAGCTGAGTCCAGAGAGCCAGCCAGTGTCGGTATCAGTTGCCCCAATACAGAAGACAAAATACACCAGAAAGTCAGCTCGTGAAGGGGGGGATGGGGGTGAGCCAGGCTCAGCACGGGAACAGGAGGAAGGGCCAGTGGTGATCATCCGATCTCTGTCCCCGACTGAGTTGCGAGATATGCAGAGAGATTTTG